TTCAATGAACAAGACGAGACCCTAGCGAGGATGTACATGGAGAGGTATCATCCCCATAAATCATTTCTCGCCGCCTTATCTGGTTCGCTCCCTTATCAATGATCACCTAAAGGAGAGATTTTTGCCAATTCTGTGGAGCTCACGAATTTGGACCCTCAAAATTCATGGGTCCCACGAAATTATTGCCCCTAAATAGATGTAACAAAGAATCGAGTTTGGTTGCGTGAATGCATATCTGTGGGACACATGATGCAAAAAATTAAAAATCCAAAATAAAAAAGATCACCTATACAAATAGTTGACTATTTTAAATACATAATGCAAAAAATCTATCATAAATACAAAGATTTTCAAAACTCAAAACTCTCATTTTCAAATCCAACAAGCAAATGAGCTCATTTAGTATAGTTTTGTTGTTATTATGACTGCAGTAGAGTTGGGGGAGATAGCAACTAAAGGCAGAAACGTGTTTAGTTACTTTTTTATACCCGGTTTAGTATCAATGTTGAGACTAAGACAAAAGTAAAAGATATTGGAAGGAATAATATGACGTGACGAGTTATGAGAAAATTGTGTGACGAAAATATATGAACAAAATATTGGCGATTAGTTTTTGGGATGAGTTTCGCAAAAACAAATAGGCTAAAAAATATAGAAAGTGAGTATAGTGAGATCTAGTCGTTGACTCTTTGGATGGAATTATTTCAACAATTAATATGATCTTACAAAAAACAACAAGAAAGCGACGGCTTAAAGTTGATTCTCTTATTTCAACTAATTTTTATTGTGTTGCCTATTCTAATTATCATAGAGCAAATAAAAACATAACCAAACATATTTTCTACATCTATTGTACCACCTCGGCCACCGCGATTGCTACTAAGATGGTGGCTAATAATAGCTAATCGTTCAATTGTGCAAAGTTTCACTCATCAATTCTTTACTTTCGATCACTATTAATAAGAGGAAAGATGGTCCTGAAATACAAAATAGAACCTATCTACTACGCAACCATCAAACGAAGTCAACCCCCTTCAACATTCCTGGTAACAAAAATCGAACATGACAAGCTACTGAGTGAGACTCTCTAAAATGGGCTCATGATTTAGATAACTTATTATAAGCCCACATAACCAAAGCAAATATGATTATACATAAAATATGTGACTCATACCATTAGGAAATGAATTTCCTTACATGATCTTTTTTTCAACTTGTCTATTCACATCATCCAAGTAAATAAAAAATCTACTCCATGCCTAAAGAAAGAAGTACGACTATAGAGAAGGAAAATCTCATGAAAAGATGAAAATCTTTATCCTTAGTTGATTGCTCTAACTAGAGAAGCATACCAAACTACTGGATTAAACAATTAGGCAACCGTATCCATTCCTTCGACCAATGACTTCGAATGGCGTAACAAAACCAATCATCCTCGTTCCTGGCCCCCTTGCGATGATTGACTAATGCCCTAAATTACACTAAAGATATATTCTCTCATCTAGGTTAATTGGCCCCAAAATTGAGATCATTGATTAAGGACCTTCAATTATCATGAGAAATACTCAATCAATATATAAAAAACCCTGCCAATCACAACATAAAGTTCACATTCACAAAACTAAAACATCCTTGAATAAGGTTTCATCCAAATGAATAGAAAATCTACTCCATGCCTAGAGAAAGAAAACAATTGTAGAGAAGGAAAACCCCATGAAAATATGAAACTCCTTCTTCTTAATTGCTTGGGATGGTGTTGAAGATGAAATCTAGCCTCCTTTCAACTTGGGTAGCTCAAATTTCCCTTCAATCTTCCTTGGTTGTCGCTTTCTCTCTCTAGAATACAGAAGAATATCCAGATCTCTCTCTCTAAAACTCTTCTCCCCTTGAAATTTACTCTCTCTTCATATTTATACCCGACATTGTCATCTTTATGGCCACGTGTCAAAACCGTGATGTCGGCACAAACCGCATCGTTTCACTTACACACTTCACGGTTTCCTTGCATTCTTCACGCCTTGCGCCCGTGATGTGTGCAATGCCCGTGAGACGCCCAAAATCTCTTGGAGACTTGCAAGCTTCACAATTTGGTCGTTATCTTCACGGTCTCAGCCCGTGAACATATGCTCTTAACAATAATCCATGAAATTTTCAGCACTTTGTCCCGTTTTCGCTCACTTTCGTCCGACTTTCAATCCTTTTGCCCATTTTGCATGCTAGAGCCTGAAACATACTAAAAAACATAACAAAACCTAGAGTAAAATGGCTCCAAAGACGATGCTACACTAGTTCAACGACAAAAATAAAGGGGTATAAATGTGTATAGAATGGTTCGAATCAAAATCCAACAAGCAAATGACCTTGTCTAGTATAAGTTTGTTGTTATCATTGTTGTGGTAAAGTTGTGACAACAAAGGTACAACCATAAGAACATGAAAATAGCACACAAAATCTTGTTTACTTGGTAATTTTGATAAAATGGAATTGGCAACCAAAGGAAAAAAATGAGTTTAGTTACTTCTTTTGACCATGTTTAGTATCAAGGTTGAAATTAAAAAAAAAAACTAGAAAATAATGGATGGAATAGTATGACAGAACAAGTTATGAGAAAATTGTGGGAGGAAAAGATATGAAAATAACACTGGAAATAAGTTTTTTGGAATGAGTTTTGCGAAAATAGAGTATAAAATATGTAGAAAGTAAGTCTAGTGAGATTCAGTCGTAGACTCTTTAAATAAAATTATTCCAACAACTAGCTTGTTGTCCGACCTATTGGTCGGAATGTAATTTGAACACAATGTATTTATTATGTGTATTTAGATTTTTTAAATGCATTGAAATGCTTAATTTCGTATGACATCAAGGTGGCATCGAAATTATTTTTCCATTTCCGAAATTCTTATAACTTTTCACCAATGGTGAACATTGTAATCTTAATGGTTATAACCAAAATTGTCAAACCGGTTTAAGTCGTTAAGCCGGTCAAGCAAGTGGTTTGAAGTTTAATGGTTTGATTGAGTTCCAACCTGTTTGAACCGTTTTATACTTTTTCTAAATATATTTACATATAAGATAGAAATTTAGTGACTGAAATAGAATGTACTAACTTATATATATTAAAAACTAAAATAGTTAAATTCCATAAAAAAACATACTTATCTCAAGATCCATCCACCATCCCCTTGCCTCCCCCCTCCCTCCCCCTTGCCTCTCTCTTCTTCTCCCTCTCTAACTATCAAACCCTTGATTTTGTAGAGCCAATTTTGGAGCATGACTTTGGTCGGACCTAGTCCAACCAGTTGCCCGATAGAGGTGTCACAATCTTGGTTATAACACTTGTGAATAACCATTTATAACTTTTCTATTTAATGACGTAGTCACTTAGTTGCCTATGGTTGAAAAGAAAATTGACATAGCGAAAAAATAGTTTGTCTGAAAAAGTGTAGCATAAATAGGAAACTCTTGATGATAACCTTTAGTCAATATTTATTTCTTTTGCTTGAGAAACAATACATATATAGCTATATCTAAACCTTAAAGTATTATGCACAATACAATAACAAAATTAGTAAGAAAATAATATTTTCCATCCATACTCTATGCAATAAAAGATTATTTATCAACCAATATACTCTAAACTTAGTTGAAGGACAATCTTATTCTCAACAAAGAAAATTAAACATATCTTGTGGTATCTACCTTGCTAATGCACATGACCCCATCAACGCATCCATGAAAACTCCAGCCCGACTTTCATGATTTGTCTTGTACTGTGTTATTTCATATTAAACTAAGTAACTATGAATAATACATCTAGTCAATTATCCTATTGAAATCATCTATAAAAATTGGTATTCATAAATTGTGTTCTTTTACACTCACCTATTTTTCCAATCATGCCATATTATCAAGAAATTTAGGATTTAACGATTAACCAAACTAAAACTTTCAAAAAAACTGGTCAGTTACCGTTTGCATAACAATATCGTTGCTTTAATAGTTCTAAAAATTAATACCAATTTAAGAATTCTACATCACATCTACACATTCAATACTGCAATTCAATATGTAATATTCGAATCCATGATATTTGGGTTGCAATTTTAAAATTATTCTCCATTTATAGGAGGACATAAATTAAATTTACTATTAAACTCAAATTAAAATAATCAAAATATGAAAATTAAAATGTCAAATAACAAAGAAAATACTATCGGGAGAGTTAGTGGCCTAGCTAACAATAGTGGAAAAGTCATATAATTTTTAGATTTTAGGTTTTCAGATTTTTGTATTTAAAAAGATACAAAATATTTTTTATTGTAACTGGTAATGGTTGTTGTCTGCGTTTGGAAAAACCCTGGTTCAAATCCCGAGATTGATGTTTTTTTCTTATGAATGAAAAATAAATTATGATTGTGAAGACACAATTACCCTTTCTACTTTCGCACTCGTTGCAGAAAATTCGAAATGCTAAAAAACTGCTCCAACTCTGCTATAATATATTTGTATATTAACATGATTCCTCAAAAAATAAAAAAAATGACTTGAAATGTTCTCTTATTTAAGCTAATTTTTGTTGGGTTGCCTACTCCAATTGCCATAACAACTAGTAAAAACTGAACTAAACATGTTCTCGATATCTATCTGCAAAAAGACAGAAAATGGTGCTAAATAGTGCCCAGGTCTTCGAGTCGTGGTTGGCTTTGTTAGGGCGAATCCGGACAAATACTTCTTGCGCAGGCCACGATTTTTATCAAATCAACTGCTAGAGCCACATATATTTTGATAATAAGGCAAAAGAAACCGGCCCTACTCATCAATTCGCTAATTGCGAACAAAAAACCGCTAATCCCTACCCTTAATGGTTCTTAATTTAATTAACAAAAAAATTATGCAAGCTGCTATCTCCCTCTTCCCTAAACTCTCTCTGTAATTGTCATTTCGTGGGGTTGGGTTGGGTGGCTCTCTTTTTCTGTGTGCGTTGCGTTTCTTTCATTTCTTTTCTCCCCCGGCTCCTTTATCTGCTCTGCCAAAATACCTCCCCGAAAAGAAATTGGCCTTCTCTCTCTCTCTCTCTCTCTCTCTGTACAGAAGACCTTTATCAGCTGTCCCGTGAGCTTTTGCCCAAAAGGGGAGTTCTCTCCTTTGATTCATAACTACAGGAAAGAGCAAAAAAATTAAAGGAAACCAGAAAGTGGGCAAATGTTTTCCCCCCGACGAATCACTATTATGACTTCTTTCCTCTGCCGCCATTTCTTCTCCGCCTGAGAATCTGAGCAGTTTGTGCAAACGGATTGCTGAATATTGAGAGGTTCAGATTCGAGGAGGAAACTCTCAAACTGGGTTTTTTTCCTTTTGTTCCATTCCGGGGTGTAGAACAATGAATGTTGCGCCGGATTGCTCTGACTCTGAGTTCGTCGAAGTTGATCCCACTGGAAGATATGGCAGAGTTAGTCAAAGTTTTCTCTCTCTGTATTTCTTCTCCTTTTTCTTCCCAGATTTCTGGGTTTCTGATTCCGATCCTCTTGTTTCCTGTTTGGGTTTTCTCAGTATAATGAAATTCTCGGCAAGGGAGCTTCAAAGACAGTGTATGGTTCCTTCTTCCTCTGTTTTTCTGCTTCTGCAAAATTTCTTCCGTTTTAGGAGGGGTGCCCATTTTGTATTTCTGGGAAATCCGGTCTAATTTGGGTCCTTGATTCGGTTTCTGGGAATGGGTGTCTTTCAGATTTACAGTTCTTCATGAGTTGTAACTTGCAAGCTCATTTTGGGTCTTTGTTTCTTCAGTTACAGGGCATTTGATGAATATGAAGGGATCGAAGTGGCATGGAACCAAGTTAAGCTCTACGATTTCCTCCAAAGTCCTGAAGATCTCGAGAGGCTTTACTGCGAGATTCATCTCCTAAAGACGTTGAAGCACAAGAACATAATGAAGTTCTATACTTCCTGGGTGGACATTGCCAATAGAAACATCAACTTCGTGACTGAAATGTTTACTTCTGGGACTTTGAGGCAGTAAGCTGTTCTTCTCCTTCTCAAAAGTCAATCTTTTGCCTTAAAGGTTTCCATTTTGATGAGTTCCCTTTTGGACCCACTTTTGATGTGCTTTTTTGGTATAGATATCGGCAGAAGCACAAAAGAGTTAACATTAGAGCAGTGAAGCATTGGTGTAGGCAGATCTTGAAAGGGCTTCTCTATCTCCATAGCCATGACCCACCTGTGATTCATAGAGATCTCAAGTGTGACAACATCTTCATCAATGGAAACCAGGGCGAAGTGAAGATTGGAGATCTTGGACTTGCTGCTATCCTAAGGAAATCTCATGCTGACCATTGTGTTGGTATACTGAAAACTGCCTCAAATTCCACCTGCAATCTTCTCTTCCATTAGTTCTACTTCAGTAGCCTGAATCTTTGTGGTGGCTTATCAGGAACACCAGAATTTATGGCGCCTGAAGTTTATGAGGAGGCATATAACGAATTGGTTGATATATATTCCTTTGGAATGTGCATATTGGAGATGGTCACTTTCGAATATCCCTACAGTGAATGCACTAACCCTGCTCAGATATACAAGAAAGTCATCTCTGTAAGCACATTTTTGTCAACTTTTCTTTCTCCACTAAGGGGGGAAAATGAGAATGATGGGTTGCTTGAAGTTTGAACTGACCTGTCTTTCGTATCCTTACAGGGTAAAAAGCCGGAATCTTTGTACAAAGTGAAGGATCCAGAAGTGAGGCAATTTGTGGAGAAATGCTTGGCCACTGTGTCCCTCAGGCTTTCTGCTAGGGAGTTGCTGAATGACCCTTTCTTACAGATCGACGAGTATGACCCAGATCTCCAGTTGCTAGATTATGGGAGGGATGTCGATGAGATTAGTCCCTATATGAGGCAGCCCTACCTTGATATTCATGACAGCATGTATTCTTCTTATAGCAACGGCTATGGTTATGATGCTCATAATGAAGTGGAGTATCATCATACTGCTGAAATGGAGCATACGGGGATTGACCTCTTCGAATACCATGATGATGAGGACAACGACGATGATCATCCTCCCAATGTTGATATCCGTATCAAGGGCAAGAGGAGAGATGATGGTGGTATCTTCTTGAGACTGCGCATCGCGGACAAAGAAGGTTAGGGAACTTACAACATACTTCCACTAATGGAAAGTACATACATTTTTCTTGTTGCTGTTACCAACTTTCTTGTGATGGAAACAAAAAACAGAACCAAATGGAAAGTAAATAAGCCCTTATCTTTCCGTTTGCTTTTGGCATTTAGATTCTCGTCTCTAAATTTGTTTGCTCTTTCTGCAGGTCGTATTCGAAACATCTACTTCCCATTTGACATTGACATGGATACAGCATTGAGTGTAGCAACCGAAATGGTTGCAGAACTCGACATAACCGATCAAGATGTGACCAAAATAGCAGACATGATAGACGGTGAGATTGCTTCCTTGGTACCAGGCTGGAGGCCTGGGCCTGAAGGCCTCGACGAGACGCCTCGGTTTGCGAACCAAACCCTATGCCAGAACTGTGCCTCAACTCGAACCTCAAATGGGTCGCTCATCGATTTCATGTCAAGCAACCCATGTTGCAGAAATGGATGTGCTTCAATGCATGGCAGGTTTGAAGAGGTGACATTTCAACCTGAGGATACAGATCATCATCAATGTGCATCGAATGCTAAAGCTCACTCGCATCATCATCGACACACGTGGGACCAGCATGAGAGCCGTGACATAACTCCAGCAGGGTCCGGGATAAGCCATTCGGATGAAGAGTATGAGAAGCTTGTTCGAAAGCATGTCATGGAGAATACCGAGATTGCTTCTCCTCCAAGGAAGTCTGCTCAACATGCTAGGGGTTCAGGTTCTTTGCTTGAGCTGGCTCCGTTGGACGGAGACCTGGCAGGAGATGGCCATGAGAGCGATATCCAGCATGAAATACGATGGCTCAAGGCAAAGTACCAGATGGAGATGAGGGAACTCAAAGATCATCAGTTGGGAATTATGAGCGCACCTGTCCCGAATCCAAGCTCCAAGGAAGAAGATGGAACATCTAAAGGTGGTGAGGGTTTGTCATGTTCGGTATTGAAGTCAGCATTGAAGTCATTACAACAGCAAGAGCAATGTAGTAGCCCTCTGAGCAAGAAAAGCTCCACCATTTCTCAAGCTCACCGAGTTTCAAAGAGGGAGCCCCCAGCAGCAGATCAACCTATATTCACTGCCAATAGCTTCTATACTGGTTCTTTTCTTCCAAACTCACTTCACAGGACTACTTCTCTTCCAGTTGATGCTGTTGATGTATAATGTAAATGTACATCTGTTCCCACAGATTTTTAGATTATTATTCTTTTCTTTTTGACCCCCACATATAAAATCAAAATTATAGAGGTCTTTGTCTTTCCCCCTACAATTGGAGCTCCATCACAGACTGTCACAATGACTTTTTTTTTTGGCTGATACTTTTACTGCCAGCCTGTGTTAGGAAGAGAAGAGCGAGTAACAACAATAATGCATCTAAAAGTCAAGGACATGAAATTATTGCTATCATTGCTATTATGAGTTTGGCTGTTCATGTTGCTATTACAACCACCCTGGAAAATATTTTAGTTGCAGAGCCGTGGGGGATGTGTTTTATCGAACCAATGATTGTGGATGAGGAAAATAGTTGAAATCATTGGTTGGGTAATATTTCTGAAACCCACTTTGAAACTATAATGGAGATTGTACGACGTGAATGACTATCGTTGTAAAGCATTTAAGTATGTAATTTTTAGTGGCACGTATGAAGCGGTATAACGGTAACGGTAAGTATGAAATAATTGAATCGCGATTAACCGCGATTTCAGTACATTTCGACACAATATCCGCGCTATGGTTTTACAAATTACAATACTTGCTACTTTTACATTTGATGAGAAGAGATTTTTGAGTGGTGGTGATGGGTTGGACTGGATGATGATGATGTTGTTGGCTAACATGGTGAGAAGATGACAATCATTGAGGAGAGGAGACACTTGTGGGGTCTAGTGAGTGACCCCAATCCCATGTGCCATTTTTTTGGCTTTTTAGATGGCCAAAAGATAAACCAAAGACCACAACCTACCTTGAATAATAAAATGTAGGCAAGGCTTGAGGGGGTCATTTGGATGCAGGTTTTGGGTGTGGGATTTGGGCACAATCCTACATAATGTGGGATTTTATTAAAATCACTCATTTGGAAAGCAATTATATGATAAGAGATTTTAAATATTAGAGATTTCAGAAACCCACAATTGTGGGATTATGAAATAGCTGATGGTGATCAGCTATTTTAAAATCCCATACAAATCCCACAAATTAAAAACCTAGGTTTTTAAACCAGTGATTTGAGCCAAAATCCCACAAATTAAAAACCTGGATCCAAATGACCCCGAGGTGTTTTTTATTTATTTTATATGCAAGTGGAATGATTAGGGATCAAGTTTTGGCATAATTAACGCATATAATAGATAGGCTTCCCTTACCTGTTCGATTAAGTTTGTAATTATCTGATCTAAAACCATTTATATATGATTGATTAAATTTGGATAAAGGTTAAAGCTTCGATTTAATAGTTTTCCTTCCCACCTTTGAAAATGTGGGTGTAAAATAACATGCCAATGAAATAAATTGTCGCTATACTTTTCCTTCATTATTTATTAGTAATTTTTATTTGTTTTCTTTTGATACGTACCCTCCCTTTTATTCATTTTATTTGTCAATTTCGTCCGTTTTATTTTTTTCTTTAACTATTCTTAAAAAAAATTAATTTGACATAGTTTTGGATTCGGTGTATCCGACTAAGCCTTAATGGCTTGTTTAAGTCCATTTGGTGGAGCTTAGTTGTCCTACAGTGGGGACGCTTGTGTGTTTTGTTTGTTTGTTTTTTTTTTTTGTAGGGGCACGCAGAAGAGCTCCCGTTATCGGAGAGACTTCCTCAGACAGGTGACTTGACTCATGATCAGAATGAAACTATCTTGCAGGATACTCAGAGCTCGACTTCTCTCTGTAGTTGGGTTTCTTTCTGTTTTGTTCTCCGTTGTCTCAATAGGGTTGCCCCATCATTGTGGCATAAAAGGCCCTCTCATCGGGAGTTCGACTATTGGTCGACTCCCGCGCTCTTTTTATTTTCTCTGTATGTCTGGTTTTATAACAACTGACTTTGCGAAGAAAAAAAAAATTGTCACTTGGATACAATGTTATTAGAAGATTCTGTGAAAGTTCGTTCTTGGGTGTGGTGGCAGATGCTCAAAGTGATAAGTGCAAGTGAGATAGATAGCTCTGGTTAAGTTTGACAAGATAATTTGTGGAAAAATTACTCCCTCCAAATGTGGAATAGAGAGGTCTATGGAAATGTCTTTGCATAAAAGTGTAAGATGCAAGATCCACTAAGAGAGCTGAAAATCCAGAACGAACGTTGCCTCGCCTCTTAAAGCTAATAGAAGGCGGAGTAAACTATAATCCGCCTACTCGAACTCCTCAAACACGATAAAATTTTGTGGTTCCAGAAATCCCGAGTGCAGTAGTTCATTGAAGAGGATTAAAATACAAGATTTGCTAATTTGCCAGTTTGGAAATTTTGCATTTTTAATCTATTAATTAAAAAAAGATTAAAAAAATAGAGACTATTCCTTAACAACAAAAAAATAAGGTAATGAATGATTGCATGACCTCTCCTTCCTACTCAGTTTGTACCTTTGTTCATCGTCCATCAAAATCCAAACAATGTAAACTCCCATCTGGCAGCACAGTGCAGTTCAAATACAAGATCTGACAAATCTCAATTGATCGATTATTGACGTAGGCAAAATAATAGGCTTGAGTAGACAGTAGAATCAATACTGACAAAATACAAAACATTGACCAAGTTGGACGAGAACCCTTCAATACTACTAAACCATGCACCAGCACCCTTCAATCCAAATCTACTAAAATTATCATATCCTTCACAATGATTCAATTTCTTCTTCTTTTTTATACAAATTTCTTCTTATTATATTACAAGATTTCAATAGAACAAAGTCGTATGTTTTTAGAGATTGAGATCTGAACCTCACAGTATTTTCGATGGGTTTATATCTCAAAATCTCAACATAGCTTCGAGCTAATTGAAGGAAGGTAGAGAGAGACGAGTGTAATAACATGGAAGTAGGAGTGAATAAGCCCAATCTAAACTCAATCCCTAGACTGGAAGCGCAAATTGTCAAGCGATAGCTCAATTGGGGGAACAAATAAAAGTTTTGGTGTCTGTTTGAAAAAGTTGAATTTCGATTGGTTTTACTAGAAAAGCTCCAAAAGTTGCTTGATTGGGTGGAACATTAGGGAAAATGTAGGTGTTAATTGGAATATGGGTGTGGTGTTGATTGAGAAGATAGGGTGACAAGTTTGTTTAGCCAACTAGAAAGGGTTTTTTTTTTGTCGGAACGAATTAGAAATGGTAAATGACAAAACAAAATTCATTGAATTTTAGAGTTTTATGGATTTTAATTAGGCGATGATGAACAATGACAGAGGATTTTAATTAGAAGGAAGTTTTTTTGTTGAAAAAGAAGGAGAAGGAAGAGACCGTGGCGGAGTCAGCATTTCAAATCACCCCTTCCTCTTTTCATAACATAAATATATAAATATTTAATTAAAATAATTTAATAAAAAATAAGTAAAATTAATTATATATGCATAATTATTTCATAGATTAAAAATAACCGACTATACAATCATTGTTTTTAACAACCACGGAGAGACTTCATATTGTGAAAGAAACGCAAAAACATTCGTTGTCTACACTATTAAATAAGTCTTTTTCAATGTATCTCACTAAATTAGCATTAGCAAATTGGTCGCCAAATCGACTTGGAAACTTGTTCTTAATATAACTCAAAACTGAAAATGCTCTTTTTACATTTGCAGTTGTAATTCGTAGAATCAAAACTAGTGGAATTGTCGATGTCGCTAGACAATTTTTGGTTTGTTGGGGAAAAATCGAATAGGCATAAGGAGAAAAGAGATCCGATTAGGTCTCTATTGCAATTAGAATTCGTTTATAGTATAATAAATTTATTTTATGTCAATTGATGAATAAGTAATGAGTTGTGCTGTAATGACAAAAATACTCTAATACTATCTATAGGCGTTGTTTTGCATCACCAATATACATATATATGACAGACTTTTGTTCCTCCAAAATTTACCACTGTCCCGTGACAAGGCCCAATGGGCCTCCCTCCCCCTATGGGAAGAGAGAACAAAAATATGAAGAAAAATAATTTTTTTTGCAATCTAATATAGACAATAGGTGGCGTGGCATGACGATTTGGATATGAAGTGTCGTCCCTCGGCTTGACGTGAATGTTTCTAATGATGCATTTAATATCATTAATGTTTCTAGAGGAAATGACTAGATTTGGCTAACGAACGTCCTAAATAAGACTATTTTTCTTACTATTAAACAATGGTTACATTAGTCACAAGAACAAAAAAAATTATATACAGATGTATTTTACCTTTTAGTTTATTTTACCTTTAAATTAAAGCAATGCCTTCCCATGTCCACAAAAACAGGTATATGGTGCTGCAAGGTCCCGAGAGTCCAAAGTTAGACAAATGTCATTGGTATCGGATTTAGATACCAAAGACAACACAGTATCCAAATGGCCATATATTTTCTTTTAAATCTTCAAGTAACTTTTTAATCCTGAATTTTTATTGATTTAATTTTTACAACAAGTATGTTTGAAGTATGAAGTACTTTATTTAATCAAAAGTCTAAAGAAATACTTAGATGATTTTATATTTGACCATTATAATAACCTCGAACTATCCTTATAGTTAATGTCAGCTCTTAACAACCACAATTATTATTGGAGATATATATTAGTTATTAGTATTTAATAATTTATATTTCTTATTGTTACATTTTTAGATGATTATTGTCCATAATGTTTTAACCTAATATGTGATGAATTTTATCATTCTGTATTATGAACAGGGCAATCTCTTGGAGTTTCTAATTACGATTTTATTGCATAATTATTTCAATTTATTTTGAATTTAATAGAAAAATAAGTTAATAATATTGAATCATATGAAGAAATTCATTTTAAACAACTTATCACTTATGCTCACAATAAAATGTACAAAGAATTTCGTATGAAATATAAAAGTATAGAGAAAACAGAAATCTAGGATAACATGATAAATAAAAATATGGGTTATAGCATTTTGTACTCTTCTATTATTGTATATTAACATACTCCTTTATTATATTTTTGCACAAACATACCCTTCTATCTAATTATCTGTTAAGTGACTGTTAAATGAGCTGGAAAATACTCAATTGTCGCTTATTTAATTTTAATTATTTTATTTATGTCCCAAATCATTTAATTAAAAAACCTAAACAATTCAGAGACACTCGACGAGAAACCGGAAGAAGCCGTAAGCTGCGTGCGTCGCTGCTGTGGATCGAGGGGAGAAACAAACTTTTTTAAGATAATTAGATTTGTTTAGAGGTATGGAGTGGCATTCCCCTGCTGCAGTTGAGAATAGATAGGCTTGGCAATGAGACCCGAATTTTGGGTACCCGCCCGAATGTGCCCTGATTTCTGAAGGTGATAATCCAGACAAATGGATTATTGACAAGTAACAGGGAATCTGAAACCCGCTATAGCCGGTTGCCGGGCGATTGTGGGTTTGGTGGTATCTGCCTCGGAAACACCCGATA